TCAATTTTCCTCATCCGTCCACGACCAGGGAGATTAGCTACAGTGCCATGGGTTGCAAACTTCTTGATAATGTTCTGTGGACAAAGGCAAATCTAGTTCTCTGGAGATGGACTTGCCTTGAGATTGTTGATATTTTGCCACAATTTTGGTTCTCAGGTCCTCAGACAGTTCTCGTCTCCTCTTTCTGTTGTCCATGCTTAGTGTGGCACAGACAGACACACAATGCAAAGGTTAAGTGAACGTCTCTCCTTTTTATCTGCTTTCAGGTGTGATTTCTATATTGCCCACACCTGTTACTTGCCCCAGGTGAGTTTTCAATGCTTGTAACATTCTTATTTATCCGCAGTTGTGAAAGGGTGCCAATACTTTTGAGCCCATTTTTGGAGGTTTGTGTGACATATGTCGAATTTGCTTTCCCTCCCTTTTTTTGTTTTGTCCCAATACACACAAAGGGAATAAACATGTGTATAGCAAAACATGTGTTAATGCAATACGTTTCGTGAGAAATACATGATTTCCTGAGAAATATCAAGGGTGCCAACAATTTCGGCCATGACTGTATATTCTGTGTATCTAAGAAACAATCCAGGCCTTTTTTGAAGCAATCAACGGACCTGGCCAGTACCAACTCTTGAGAGAGTCTATTCCACATTTTCACAGCTCTCACTGTGAAGAAACCATTCAGTGTTTGGAGATTAAATTTCTTTTCCTCCAGACGTATAGAGTGCCCCCTTTGTCCTCTGTGATGACCTCAGGGTGAATAGCTCTACACCGAGTTCACTATATGAACCACTGATGTATTTATACATGTTGATCATATCCCCCCTTAATCTCCTCTTCTCAAGAGACAATAAATTCAGTTCCTCTAATCTTTCCTCATAGCTGAGCTCCTCCATGCCTCTCATCAGTTTGGTTGACCTTCTCTGTACTTTCTCCAGTTCCCCAATGTTCTTTTTGTAAATTGGTACCCAATACTGAACTGCATATTCCAAATGAAGTCTCACTAATGACTTGTACAGGGGTAAAATGATATCTCTCTCTCTCTGTGTACTGTGGGAGACCAGTTATAGTGAATGCAGGGTCATGGATCTAGTAACACTTTAAAATAAAACAGGGAAAACTTACATTAACTTATGGCAACTGTTTTTTTTTTTAAGTTCAGACTTAATCAGCTATGATTTGCTATTCTAAAACACAGGCTGGAGGGCGTGACACTGACTGATTGGCAGAAATCTGCCCACACCATGTTATTTCCACAAAAAAATAAAGATTTGTTTTCCAAAATATATTTTTTATGCCAATAGAAAACATTTTTATTGATATTATTTATTTATTTTTACTCTGTATTCCAAAAGCTGATTTTTTTTTTGTTTGAATATGTGACTAGCAGCAGAGGACTAGAAGCTCCTCCTGCTTATGTTTCCCTGCAGACAGGCTGGGAAAGAGCTGGGTCATGTGGCAGCAGTAAATTGATTAGGAAAAAGGTAGATTTTTTTTTTAATTAAAATAATTACAGTGTCATCATCCACATATAGAAATAGAAGGGACAATGTAAATTAAACAGTGTGTGTTTAGTATCACTTTAATAACCGAGAATGCATATTCACTGACAATACATCACAGGTTCCCTTTTAGGCAAGAAATTTGATAAATGTCTCTTATTAACTGTCCATTTCAAAGAGTTAAAAGTGCAGTAATCTGATGTTAAGGAATGTGCTGTGCCTAATTTTTATTTCTTTTACTTACGTAAAGAACATAAGAGTCCCAGATAAGACATACTGTATGCATTCAGTGTGACCTTAAGAGCTTCAAGGATTGTTCACACGGGTGACTTTGTAGTGGCAATAAAGTCATCAGTAGTCAAAGCAAATAATCTCACATGATTTGCCACTGTGCAACGGAACTGAATCTATGCAAACAATTTTCTGCTAACGACAGCATTGCTTGGCTGGCATCTACAATCTCCACTATGTATTCTACAGGGTAATATGTAGTATGTAGCTATGCTATAAATCACAAGTTTCATTCATCTGTTTTTGCAGTTTATTGTTAATGCTAAATATTTAAACCACGTACAGAGCTATTTTACTTTTTAAATCCCTGCTATACATTTTATAAATGCGAACAATAAAGGTTGTAATTTTCAAATACACATTTTCAAACATTGGATCTATAACTTTTTTAAAGGAAAAAATAAGGCATGTAAAAATAATACTGTTATTAGTTTCATTTATCTATTCTGGAAAATGAAGCAAGGGATCTAATGCATAACAAAAGGATTTTAAAAAATCAACACTAGTTGTCACACCATGCCAACAATTGCCATGCACATATGTAAGAGTGTGAATTTAAATTTGTTTCAGCGATGTCTCCTCTCCACACCTTAAAATATTTTAGCTTTTGTAATCTATCCTGACATATCACACAATGGTTCTCAGGACATACAGGTGTAGCACTTACCCATGAAGTAGCCACTGATGTTTGGGTCCACTGACTCTGTATGCCAATTACCTTCTCAGCATTGCCACACCATTTGACACACAAAAGATGAAGGGAAAATATTTATTTGTGCAACACACAGTAAACCAATAACCAAGGATGGAAAAGCAGTAATAAACACTTTAGCAAGTACATGGAAAAAGGTACAAAACAATGTGCGACTCAGTAAATGACAAGCGGGCCAATGACTTTACCCCCAATTGCTATACAATGTGGGAGGCCTGACTAAGGGGCGATGCTAAAATAGTGGTCTGACAGTATCTGAAACACTCTATCCCACTGGCCAGTGCCTTGGGGACCAAATTCAGGGTTGGAGCGCTCACATGTGAGTCCCACAAACCTGGGTGTAAGTTTCTAAATGGTGTCCCAAGCGGCAATACTGTTCCGTTAACTAGTGTAGAGGGGATACAACCAGTTGCCTCTCACATTGACACATAGGATGATAACTTGTCTCCTTCTGCTGTCTGGTTGGGGCTCAGCAGTGCCAGCTACTGTAATGTCCTCCCCTTGACCTTGACAGTGGCGTTCCTATAGACAAGAAGATGTCAGCATCTCTGTCTCTCTGCATCCAGGCAAATCATCCTGTCAGCTTCTTGCTGCATGGTGTGTGCTCTACAGTGACCTCACAATGACTGCCTCAAGCCCAGGAACAGTCTTTTCCTTTTCTTCTTCTATAGTGTTCTGGTAATGCTGGGATCTGTTGTTCCAAAACACTCTAACACCAGGTACTGTCTCCCTGGGGACTACATCTCCCACAACTCCTTGCTATGGAAGGAACGTTTGATCCTTTCCCAGGTTGCACAGCAATAGCATTACTGTTTCCTTTGTTTTCCTGGGTGGTTTGGGCTTTCCCCTGTTGTGTCTGTGGCTGCACACAACCCTGGAAATGTTCAGTGTTCACTGGCAGACAAGGAGAGGTAAAATATCTGCAGCAGCGATTGTGTACAAGGAATATGAAAAAAAAAAACTTATGTAATTAGCACAATCCCATAAATATCAAAGTCTGCTGATTAAAGCACATACCGGTATATATGCTTTAATATAACAGAGAAATGACAAAGCTCAAAGCTAAATGTTTGCATTTTAGTACAGGAGATCTTTATTGCTACATTGGCACACATGCAGGACAAAAATTGCTATCATACATTGGGCTAGTGAAGACACAAATTAGAACAATGGCTGCAATCAGCCAGCAATAGATCACAATAGGAGTGATCTGCTGCTGCAGGGAGAGGCAGATATGGGATCTTGTCAGTTTTTGATCAGTGAATACACTGAAATACTGTGAGCTACTATCATAATCGAAATATGGTACAACAAGCAAGTGAAAATTGCATCAGAAATACTAAACGTATTTCATGTTTTATATTCAAACATAATCCTTGGTCATGATAACAAAATTCCATATTGGGGAACGTCATTCTTAGGACAGGTGTATACAGCTGTTTCCCATCTGCACTGTGCTCATTATTAGGCATGAGGATCAGGTTTGCTTTCTAAAAATTTACTTTTTTTCATTGATTCTGTGGGCATTTTGTTTATTATTGTATGTTGCGAACACAGAATGGGAAGTTGTCATTCAGTGATGCCAGTATACTGTCAAAAAACGAATGGCTTCTGGCTGCAGTAGGAGGTTCCTTTTGGCGGACAAACACCCAAACTTCAAACACCCAAAGTTTGGGGTAAACCCTTGAAAGCAACAAACAGGAACTTCATCCCTACTTTGTATATATATATATATATATATATATATATATATATATATACACACACACAGTATATGTATATATATATATACACACAGTATATATATATATATATATATATATATATATATATATATCTTAGCGAGAGGGCATATACACATTCAGAAGCTCATCTTTACGCTATAGCAATGCCAAGCAGCTAATAACTTTCTGGGAAAAGAGGAAGCTATATTATATACACATACACACACATACATACATATTTCTCTTAACCTTTCTGGTCCTTGAAATTAACAGATTTTCACTAAACTATATACGACTTTCAAACAATAAAGTGCTGGTGTCTACACATATTTCCTTCTAAAACAGTAAGTGGTAAATAGATTAAATCAATTGGGGAGTTTATTTATTAAAAATTCACTTGAGGAAATAAAAAAAAAAAACAACATTGTGGGTTACAAATCCAGACTGTGCTGTTTTTCAGTCATTCCATTCAGGCTGAACAGGATAGGGTAAGCTAGAAATCTCCACCCTCCACAGAGTGAAGAAATTGCAGTGAGTAGTTTGGTTGCTATGCATGTTAATGACTTTGTACCCTGGGCTGTAGGATCTGTTTTAAAAGAGGACAAGCAAGCAAGGCGAAGCTCAGAGTGAAGGTGGAGAACAGGCAGTGAAGGCATCAGCACAGAAACAGTGTGAGCGCAGCTTCTGCGAACTCTGCACACAGGCAGACCTTCAGGTAGCACAGTTTATAACAGATCTCTATATTATAAGTCACAGAATAGGAATTGGGACATGAAACCTCTCTATGCAGCAATCATATTACTCATTCTAGCAATCTGCACACTCCAAGTGGAAGGTAAGTTTCTTACTCATTTTCTTAATGTCATTTTCTCTTACACAGTTGTTTAATTTCATTAGAGGATACTGAATAGTCTTCTGGTTGTATTTTTCTAGTAACTAGTAAATGTATACATGTAGTGACAAGGTATAACGCACCTTGTTATGCATGATATAGATATGTATTCCTTGAAAAACAATACTCTTATATTTGTACTTTGTATAGGACTTTTACATGATGGTAAATTTTAACAGGGAAGCATAACTGAGTGTGAATGCATTGATAAGCTGTGTTTTAGCATTACATTTTATTAACTTTTAGAAAACTGTACATCCACATAATGATAGCACAGCATTGATTTAAATATAATGCACACAATATATAAATATATACAGTATACATATGTGTTTGTTAGTTTCCTGTGCGTCATCTTTTTTCATCTTTTTTTTCCAAGGGTCAAAATGCAAATGTTCTCGGAAGGGTCCAAAAATTAGATTCACAGATGTTCAGAAACTGGAAATCAAACCAAGACATCCATATTGCGAAGAAAAGATGATTATGTATGTATTATACCCATTATACCCATATTTTGTATTTTTAAGCATGACAGTTAATATGTAAAATTAAAATTTAGAAATGTACTGTATTACTTTCTATTAAGTCTAGTGAACATAAGAATGTTCATGATCCTTTATGCCATTTTAAATTTCAATGCAGCTTTAAAACAGGTTGAACAAGAATGCTTAGATTGAACGACAGATCCAGGCTAGATCAGTATTCAGTTTGTAAACTAAAATTTGATTTATACTAACAGCTTTACTTTTTTCTATAGTGCAACTGTATTCTTTAGAGATACATCCTATTTTTTCAGTAACATAGTACATAAAATCATAGTACAATAAATCGTGGTTAACCGAGTTGCATTATTCTCTGCAGACCACACAGGTCAGCATGCAAATGTTAAAGTGGATCAAAAATTTTCAGATTGAAGAGTTCCCTTATTCAACCTATCTCACAGTAACTACAGCAGCAAAATTCACATAACAGTTTCTAGCTGTGGTGTTTTGGGTGTTCTTGCATTTTTGCCTTTGTCCATGTTCTCAGGGTTGATTAATGAAGGTGAATATTTATTAAAAGGGACTCTGCAAGGTTCACAGATTTATTTTCTAATAAATGTGCATAGCAAAAAGTTTCACTGTGCATGTTTTATGCAGTAACAGATAGCACCATACTTTGGTTCCATCTAAGAAGTGGGGAATAGCAAGTTTCCATACAAAGGACTTGTAGGCACTAGACCACCTATGTTAACATATTGATATGTATTTGCATGGGCTTCAGGAAAGCTACATCTTTGAAGGATTACTTTTTAATTTGGGCATAAATTGTACATAAACTAGCATGCAGGATGTTGACAGGAACAACAGTGAATTGTCACCGCTTCTGGGGTGAATGAGCCGTTAACAGTGCAGGTTCTTATTTCATCTTCATCAGGTGTGGCCATTGAGTTGTTTTAATTCACCTTGAACAATTTTGTTTTCTGACTAATCTTATGTAAAGTCCTAAAACCTAGGCAATTCAAACAAAAGCACATTATGAAAAATGATAGTGGTGGTTACCAAGCTTGGCCTTGTTCATGCCCACTTTCTATCAGACAACATGGATGTCTTTCACATTGAAAAACAAAAAGTGAGGCTCAGAAGGTAATAATGAGGGAACCAAGTTTGACATTTACAGTTAAGATTTAATGTAACTTCAGCTGCTTATTTTTCTGAATCTACAAGTCATTTTGAGATGCAGCTTTCACCTGTTTTTGGCAGTGTTTGAATTTACCAGATCTGTGACAAGTTTACTTTAAAGTACTTTGGAGTCACTGTTATGGAGCAAGTGTGCAGTAAGTAAAGTGATAGGTGGCCAAACCAACAAATATAGAGGCTTGTGAGGTATGAGAGAGTGTTGCAACACACAACTATTTTAGGAAAAGTCAGTGCATGTATTATCAACATTTAACATATCCCCCATATAATATATTATGCAGCCTACTTCTCAGGCTCTACTGATAGTAATAGCGTACAGTTTTCACTAAACTCAGTACTGCCACAGCAAGGTGGCAGCTGTATGTGCAAGTGCACACATTGTCAGCATTTAAAATGCCACTCTTTCTGCACCCTCACTCCAGCTCTGTACTGCAATTTTTTCAGAAAATGCAAAGCATTCCCTGAATGGCACCTGTGCCAACCTCCTGTATTTAGAATGCATCAGACCAGTTGCTCAGCATGCTCCATGAACGTACGCAATTTTAAAGCATGAGATGTTTGGTATCTACAGTATTTACTTGGGGTAACATCTTGTGTTTGAAAAACTGTGTGAGATATAAATTTGTTACACCCACACACCATAGGGACTTTGTTTAAAAAAATATATAGAATGTTTGGGGGTTCTAAGTAATTTTCTAGCAAAAGAGCTGATTCTTATACTTGTGTAAAAAGTTGCAAATTAGTTAAGTTGGCATCTACTGTATCCATTTCAGCTCCAGCAAAATACCTACACATCTCTGCAGGCATCATCCCTTCCCCAGTATTTACAGCCGATGGTTGGCTTTCTTGTAATAGCAATCAAAGAGACTAACTAGCTGCTTGAATGCTATTACAATCAGTGGGAGGGGACATCCCCCCCTCCTTCGACTTTAACAGGAGCTCGCGTTCCACCGGGAGTCCCAATCGACCAGCCGATGTAGCCTCCAGCTGGTCAAGGAGCCAAACAAAGACCGAATCAACTTTGTTTGGCTCCGTTAAATAGTAAACCGAAAGCGATGACCTGACATCACTTCTGGATTACTTGAAAATACACGGCTCTATTTTTGAAATGAAATAAAAGCATTCAGTCACACCGATCTTGATGTGATTGAATGCTTTTAAGAGCAGAGGACAGATTTGGAGTCTCATTGACTCCAGATCCCTCCAAAAATGGTACTTGGTATTTATCTAATGCCTAATACCTATTGCTGTCACATGGGACATTTACATTCCTTGGGAAAGCAATAAAATAGATTTAAACAATTAAGTAAAAGTATAAAAAATAAATAATAATTTAAAAAATTGCCCCGTCCCCTCATGCTTGCACGCAAATGCGAACGCACATGTAGGTCCCGCACTCACAGAAACAGCAATTAGCCCACTCATGTGAGATATTGTCACAAACATAAGATCATGAGCAGTAATTCTAGTACCAGACCTCCTAAATCTAAAGTGATAACTTGTAAAGGCTTTTAAAGCATTGACTATTGATAGTAAAATTTAAGTCATTTGTCGCATTAGTTGCAAGGGTGGGTGAAATTTTAAAGCATGACATATTTGGTATCTATTTACTTGGAGTAACAGCATATTATATATTGGGCTTTTTTTTGCATTTCAATTTTTAAAAAGTGTGTTTTATCCCAAAAAATTGCATTTGAAAAACTGCATTTGAAAAAAATTCCACCAATGTATTCTCTAGGGCTTCTGCTTTAAAAAATGTATAATGTTTGGGTGTTCTATGTAATTTTCTAGCAAAAAATACTGATTGTTACATGTAAACAAGAGGTGCCAGAAAAGACTTTTCCAGAAAAGTCTGGAAGTGGGTATACATGATCTACTGTAGTGGAAATTTTTGAAGATATAAAGAGATGTTATTGCAGAATCACTTTGAAATGAAAATGGGTACTTTGTAGAAGAGCGAACAATAGAAATTACAACTACTGTACACATGTAAAATACTCATATTTACACAGAAGCTCTCCAGTCAAATCATGTTTGTAACTACTGTATGTTATTTAGCTGATTGTTACGTGTCAACTGCCACATTGGACATGAAAGGCACTGAAATTCCAGCTTTCTTCTAAGGATAATTGAACCAAAAGTCAGCTGTGCACATTTTATTCCTTAAAGTTCTTAAAACTTCTTTTTCAAAACCTGGTTTATATTTAATAGGCATTTACAGCAACTTTCTCAAAATAAGTTAAATGTCCTTAATTATTTGCAATAGTACACTTTGTCTTCCAATGCAGTGCACCAGCAAAAAAAAAGTAGGTTTAAAATGATATTAGGACTACCATTCAAGCCTTGTCCTGTTACAACAAGCACCTTTGAATCCTCAGGATGTAGTAAATTTGCATTGTGGACACCACCAGCATTCCAGGGAGGAGTATTATGAGGTTTGTTGCTATCAGGGCAGTGGCACTAGCACATCACCACTACCATAGTATCACATCAACAAACGAGCTTTACAATGCCTACAATGCACATTCTCTGCCAACTCTGCACGTGATAAGCTTTAGAAAAAGGAATGGGAGCACATGTTTCTATATATGTCCAATATGGTAGCACTTTCTGGAGAGAGGCATCTATGAAAGAAGTCAAAATGATGTTTCATTGTAATGGAAAGCACAAAATACTTTAAATGATGTTAAAACAAATCTTACACTATTTTAAACTTTTACAAGTAAAAGTTTTACCTAAAATTAGAAAACAGGTTGTCTGCTATTACCTTTGTAGCACTACCCTCGTAAGGACCGCTGGATTTGATTTCTGTCCCCCTAAACTTTGCAAGGCCAGGCAACATTTCCCACACTTTGCACACTAGAGTCAAAGAAGAGCTGCGTTAGAGATCTGGAGGAGCAAGTTGCCACACTGGGCAGAACCGACAGCCTTGAAAGGGGTCTTCTGCTCTCTGAGCAAGTAGCTAATGGGATTGATGTTGAGGGCGGAGGGGCTAATAAGGATTATCAGGTAGGAAGATGGGTTACTGTAACAAGAGGGAGTGGTAGGGGCTCACAGAAATGGAAGGCTGGCCCTGGGTTTGTGCACCCAGATTTGCCAAGTTGGGTGAAGCTGTGGGGGTGGCAAGCTCAGGGGTGGCAACCCTGGATGTCACTGCAATCCATAACAGCTGGGAGGGCAGATCATCTGGGAGGGGTGGTGAGGGCAGTGCAGGAAGACCTAGACAGCTGGTGGTAGTAGGGGATTCTATAATCAGAAGGACTGATAGAATAAATTGTCGCCAGGATCGCCTCAAACAAATGGTTTGCTGTCTCCTGGTGCCAAAGAATGTGGTGGACCAGGTTGATAAATTACTGGGAGGAGCTGGGCATGACCTAGCTGTCTTGGTCCATGTTGGAACCAATGACAGAATACATGGAAGGTGGAGGCTCCTTAAGAATCTATTTAAAGAACTAGGTTGCAAGTTGAAGAGAAGGATATTCTCTGAAATATTACCTGTGCCATGCACAACTCAGGAAAACAGGGGGAGATTATAGAACTCAATGCATGGCTAAAGACCTGGTGTAAGAGAAAAGGATTTGGGTATCTAGAGCACTGAGCTGACTTTTCATTGGGGTGCAGCCTGCATGCTAGAGATGGTTTGCACCTAAATGGAAGGGGGTCTGTTGTGCTGGGGGAGAGGTTTATGGGAAGGCTGGAGGAGTATTTAAACTAGGATCGAGGGAGGAGGGAGCATTAGATTATAATGGGGTAGACAGATCAGACAGGGGTCAGTACTTATTGGTGGGTGGAATGGGGAAAGATGGGGGAGAGGACTATGGCAGGTGATAAGAAGGTTCCCATGTTAAAAATAACCACTGGAATTGG